AACAGGTAAGTTCAAAGAGGTCAAGTAACTTTCCCAAAGTGAAATCTTTCCCAAAGTGAAATCTTTCCCAAAGTGAAATCTAGATAATCCACGACTCCTGACTTCTACTTCAATGCTATTTCCTCTATAATACACACCTTTTCTATCAAAAGGATAATACATATCTCAAGACACACAGATCCTATACATCAAAATTAAAGAATGAGTACAACCTTCTGAAGCAGCTCTAAATAAAATGTTATATTTTCTATGTAAGGTTCACCAATCAAGAGATACAACCAATAAAGGTCTCTTGAGAAAATATCCATTAAAAAACCTAGTGTAGCTTTCCTGCTTCCAAAGAGAGAACCTAGTGAATGGTAATTGGATGGTATCTGAACTATGCCAGTTCAAGATGCCAATTCTCAGATTCCCAAATCACAGTATTTTATTTAACTTTCTATGACCATTTAGTCAATGGGAAAACAAAAGTGATAGATTTTAAAGGCCCCCTTCTTTCCCCTCCTAGATTCTAAGTGTGATCTCCAGAACAGTGACAGCAATAGAAAAATCACCGAAAATTTTGTTGGAAATGCAAATTCTCAGACTTCACCCAGGCCTACTGTGTCATAGATTCCTGGGGTGGCACCCAGCAACCTGTGTTTTAACAAGCCCTCCAGATAATTCTTATGCATATCGAAGTTTGAGAACTACTATCTTATTAGACTATCAATGCTTTGAAAACATTGCATTTCTGTTTCTCTGCTATGTATACAAGCTCTTTATAACTTGCCATTTTAAGAACATCTTCTCCATACTACATTAATTTGATTGCACTTTTAATGACAAACTTCAATTTTCCCTGTTCAGTGTTCCATGAGTTTTGGCTCATGCAGAACTAGTATAAAGTTTAAATACAAGTTGCTATAAATTTAATAGTTAGCTTTAACTATCATATTTCACTGACTCCATATCTTTTAAAATTTCATTAAAAAAAATCCCTTGCCCTTTTTGTACCTAAATGATATATCTTCTAATCAGTAATGAGCCTTATGAGTCAGTATTTTATTTATTGTACAATAATGCTTCATGGAGAATTGTATTACTTATAGTTTTTATATCCTATATTTTCTATAAACAAAAATCCAAAGTCCTTCAGGGTACAAGTTTTCTAATCTGTTATGCATTTTAATTATTTAATACTTATTTTTGCCCAGTTTCTACAGGATGCACTGTGAAACTAATGTGCCAGCAGGTACATGTCATGCATTCCTTTTTCTTTCTTCTAATGTCTGATAAAAAATGAAAGTGGGGATGCTAGGAATTGTTAAAAAGAAAGTAAGTGAATTCTTTGTCTCACTCTGCACAGATGGACTAAACTCACATTTCCCAAAGGAGAAAGAAGATATTCAAAGGAAATAAGGGTCACGATATATATAACAAATGTTTAAGGAATCAGGATGTCTGAACTCCAAGGTCAGATGGTTTGCTCTGCAGAACTCTGGATGATGTGGTAAGAAAGGAAAACACTGAAGGCTAGATGGTAATCTAGGACACACAGCACACATTTCAGACAAGTCTGCAGATGCATTAAACAAAAACGTGCCTGCTTGTTTGAAGTCAGAATTTGGCAATTAGTAATCTATTTAAAACCTTTCACACATTGATGGTGAAATGGAAGAATGTCAGTACTTACATTTCAGTAAAAGTATCTAGGGGAAAAAAGCCATCACAATTTAAAAGTGTCCATATTTAAAATACAAACCTACAATACAGAGAGCGAGAACACTTATGACTTTTTTTAAAGGCAAAGATAGAAAACAGGAAAAAGATGGCCCCAAAGTTGGAACTAAAATGTTTGATATCCACAGACATTTTAGCCAGACAACAATGTTTTCAAATAGATGGATAACCTGTCAGATCAATAAGAATAGTATGCAGCAGGAGCTGCTTCAACGGATTCAGACTAGGCTGGAGGCAAACCCAAAGGCAGCCTACTTTCTTAAGTGCCAAGTGAGAATGACAAAATTGGAAGAAGTCAATAGGAAGGATGAAAAGAAATTAGACATCTTTATAAAAACCTGCTCAATTTAACAGTTTGGCTTTACACCAGAATGCAAAGAAGAAATGCATAGACTCTAAATCTGTATTCGAGAGAAGAAAACCCATGGGAGAAATGACCAAGATCAAAACTCTAGTCCTGGGCTTCCCTGGTGGCGCAGTGGTTCAGAGTCCGCCTGCTGACTCAGGGGACACGGGTTCGTGCCGCGGTCCAGGAAGATCCCACATGCCACAGAGTGGCTGGGCCCATGAGCCATGGCCGCTAAGCCTGCGCGTCCGGAGCCTGTGCTCCGCAAAGGGAGAGGCCACAACAGTGAGAGGCCCGCGTACTGCAAAAAAAAAAAAACCCCCAAACCCCCCAAAACTCTAGTTCTTAATAGTTGAAAGCAACCATGGATTATAAGACTACGTATGAAGGGGATTCAAGTTGTGATTTAATATTTATACGACAAACATCACTGCTGAAACATTCCTCAGGATCAATAAAGCCTACAACTTCTCTAAACAGTTCTTTGGAGTTCTATATTTGTAAGATACTGTCATTAATCTGTTTCCTACACCCAGCTTGGTAGGTAGGTAGTTACCAGAAAAAGGAAAGCAAAGCAGTTTTATATTGAGCAACAGTAAGGAATCTGTACTAATTTTCACAATTGGACAAAGAAAATTTCCTAAACAGCCAAATACCAAAAAATCACAAACCAAAGCTTTATAGTTTATAGCAGTGTGATAACAATTAGTATATCCCAAATGATAACCTTACAAATTACCATATAAGACAACAATTCAACTCTATATAAAGATAGGGTCAATGATTTTGCAACCAAACAAAATATGGTGTGTTTGATTCTAAATTAGAGCCCCTTAGAATATTAAAGTTATTAAGAACTCTAGGGGGCATGGACAAAAATGACAATATTTTACTTTCATCCAACATTTGCAACTAATACAGAGTGGCTCTGTTCTTGGAACTGGGCCAATGTATTTGATTCTTTTTTAAATCAAAGATGATTTAGAATAGGAAGCAACCAGAAAACTTTTGAAATATTTTGGAAGGAAAATATACAGTTTTTTTAATCTTGCTAGGAAAAATAAATAAATGGAGGTGCAAAAACAGTGGGGAAAAAAAAACAGGTTTGCTACAGCACACCTGCTCTCATTGAGAGGTTTTTTTTTTTTCTTTTCACATTTGCTCTTAGAATTTTCTTCAAAAAATGCTGTCCACCTATTCATCCTTCAGGGAATAAAAAACACAATTAAAAGAAAAACAAACAAAAGCATTCCATACAAACCTGAAGGAAAAATTAATCTATGATCCAGATGTTTGTGAAGGTATATGAAAGAAAAACAGACAGGATAAGACCTTTAAGGATAAAGCGGTAAGTTTTCTGATATTTATTTTCCAAAAAGTAGGTGGGATTAGAAGTAAGATAAGCATCTATCAGTCCTAAATGAAAACAAAGAGGGACACTCATGATTCAAAGCAACCAATCAATCTATCATCAAGCCAGGCTTGCTGTAAGATTATAGGTACAGTTCTCTTGTTAAATTTTTTAGATAATATTTTTAGATAAATTTTCTGGAAATGAGTAACAGAAATTTTTTGTTGTTGAAAAAAATTGGTTCGGTTTCAAATCCTTTTTAATATTCTCCTTTCCCAGTTCTCTTCACCTCAATTCAGAAACCCCTCCATCCAGAGTTCATGTTTTCTTCCTTTTCTATTTTAGTGAAAACACACCACATTGATTGTAAGAATCTTACTAGATTTCCATTTGCTTTGCCTCGGCTCCTACATTAATCCAAACAATAAGGGCCTTTAAAACATTCATAAATAACCTGCTGCTGCTGGCACCTAGAAGCCGAGTGCAGCAATGTTAAGCAACAACAAATTTCATAGTTCAAGAGGCACAGTTAAGGAAAAAGGTTGCTCAGGAAATCACTCTTATTTAGCACAAAGATCCTTAAAAATTGCATGAAATCAGTCAAGTAACTATAGAAACCAATTTCTTCAGCTCCATATCACACGTCTCACACCTCAATTGTCTTTATTATCGTCTGCTGTCAGATCCTTAATCAGAAATGTGAACAGGCTTGATGATTTATTCAGCAGGGAAAAGAATCTGTAGGTCAAGTGAAAAATTTCACACACACACCCATACATACACCATGTCTTCAACCTTAGGTACTTTCATTTCCTTCTGTTCTCAGCAGCTCTGGGGGCAACTCCAGTGAGATCCAATATTAAGGCTCAATTAAAATAAGCTCCAATTAGTGGAGCTTTTTTCTCTGGGGCTAGAAAAGTCAGGAAATGGATATTGGGAAATGTAAAAAGTCAGCTACTGAGAGGAGGCTGCAGACATAAATGAACTTATTTGTTGATTTCTACAGTTGCTATGCAGAGGCCTCTGGGAGTAAAAGCTTAACCAGTCTAAGCTATAAACTAAAACCCCCGCAGCTAAACATGAACTGTGTGAAACAAGGGCTCCATTCCAGAACAGAAAACTGCTGGGCCCAGAAAATTAAAAGCCAGAGGCGTTTTCCATTTAAAACTAAATCCCAGTACCACCTCCCAGCCAAAGAATTATAAGCAGTATCAGATTTACAAAACGAACAATTACCCTGGAAAAATGTAGCCTATTGTACAGTCCCAGATGCTAAATCTCAGAAGTTTCTTTTCTTTCTTTTTTTTTAATCCCACATTATATTCCTCCAAGTGTGCTGCTGTAGTTTACAAAGAGCCATTTCTAGACAGGCCTAAGCCTTGAAAATAAATTTTAAAAAGAGAGCACATAACTCATTGACCTCATTTGAAGTACTGCCCTTGCCTTCAGCAGTTCCTGTCCTTCCCCAAGGCTTCGGCAAATGGTATGCAACAGCAAAATAAACCCTGACCTAATTGCCAGGAGAGAGCTGCCAACCTTCCCTCAAACACAAAGACAAGCATGGTAACTTGAAAGTCCTACCTCTTTGGCTTTCTGCTTTAATCTCAGCTGTTCTGGATCTTCTTTATTGGAACGACTCTATCAAAGGAAAAGAAAATTTTAATAGAAATTACTAGCATCTAAACACCATAGTTGCCGTTAAATATTTAATAAATGACAATTTTCTCTTGTGATTGAAAACCTTAGCTCCAGGGGAAAATGCCTCAATCCAGTCTCGTGCTCTCCCTCCCACCACCCCCTCCCTCTCATCATCTGGGCTGGCTGCTGCAGTTCTAGCCTGGAGGAAGCTTATAGAGAAAATGATGCTAACAATGTCAGTCAGGTCCAGTTGAGGCATGACGTTGGTCTTGTTGGAACACTAAAAACTGAAAAATGGATGGTAGAGATGAAGGAAAAGAAAAGGATAACTGTTGGCTCAAATGAATGAAAACAATCAACATTGGCTAATCCTTAGGTGAAGCCATTTTGGTAAAAAATATGGTATTTCAAGGACTATTAAAAACAAGAACGTGATGAACTTTGAACCAAATTTCTCTCTCTTCAAAAGTGTAATTTTTTAAAATTAAGAAATACATCCCAATGTTTTCATTAGAGTATCTTATCATCTTTGGGTCCTCTATAGCACTTAACAGAATGCTGTGCCCAAGAAAATGTTCAATAAATGTTTATTGAATGTCACTTTCCATACTGATTCAGTTTAACATTCAAAAAATGAATAATCTTACAGGACTGCTATAAGAAAAGAGCTACATTCTACATGTAATGCTATGATGGAACCAAAGGTAAGGAAAGAACTATATTTCTGACACTACAGACATTTGTCCACTGAAAAATATGCTGCGGATAGGTGTATTCTTCTTCTTATTCTAATAAAGTTACCTCCTTATAAATCTGAATATTCCATAACATTCAATAGCAGCTAACTAAAGATAGCTAACAAAATAAAAGCAAAAAGTATTTTCCTATTTACTTAGTTTAACTGATAATGTTTTTACTGATTTATCAGTACTTCTGTTAAAGGAAAACACAAGGAAGAAACTGTTTATATCTGAGTGCCTTCTAATTTTAAACACCTTAATTAAATACCTACATAAGATTCTACCGAAAGCGAATACATTTTTTCTTAATTTTGTCTCCAATGTAATAAAACAACTTCACTCTAGCCCAAACTAAGAAAACTCCCTTGTTATTCTACTTATGTTAGGAGAGAATGAGTATATGTGTAGTCACATAAAAATACGGGTGTATATGTATATGTGTGTGTATATAATTTTTGCCACAGTATAAAATGGGCACATTTGGGTATCAAGTCTTTGTCAGTCAACCAATATTTATTGACTATCCATAGTATATATTCTACTCTGTGTGCCATTGTTCTAGGCCTTGGAGATATAGAAATGAGGTAACAAGACAAAGTCTCTGCCTTCGAGTAACTTACATTTTAAGAAGAGAAAAATAAAATAATTTTATAGAAATTAAACACAGTTGTGAAATGTAAAACATTTATGATGGGGAAAAATAAAAAACAATGACTGATAGTGATAAGTACTATAAATAAAATAAAATAGGATAATGTGATAGAAAGAGGGGCGTACTTCTGTAGCCAGAACGGGATGGAAGACATCTCTGAGGAGTGACAACTGAGTAGAGATCTGAATGAGAGGAAGGAGGCAGCCATATAAAGATCTGGGGGAAGAACACTCTTAAGCAGAAGGTGCAGTCACTGCAGAAGCCAAAAAATGGGAATATGGTTGGCATACTTGAGGAAAGAAAGAAGGCTGGTGTGGTTGGAGCATAAAGAAAAGTTGAGAGATAAGGCTGGAGACAATGTGCTGCCTTGTAGGTCATGATGAGGAGTTGGGCTTTGATTCTAGTTGTAAGAAAAAGCCACTGGAGGGTTTGGAGCAAGGTGTGAGATGCCACTGGCAGGACACTTTTGAAAGGTCACTCTGGCTGCCGTACAGACGATGCACTGTATGGATCCAAGACTGGAGGCACAGGCACACAGAGCAATTAGGAAGCTGTTCTAAAACAACTGCTGTAAATACAAGACTGAGAAAAAGATGAGGGCAACTTGAACCAGCATCATAGAATACGATGATAAATAACTAGATTGAAATACATGTTGGGGGTAGAGCCAACCAGATTTATTGATGGATTGGATATAGGGTGTGAAGTAAAGAGAGGAATCAAGAATGATGCCTAGGATTGTGGCCTAAGTAACTGGAAGGATAGAAAATTCCAACTTCCCGAGAAGGTAAAGACCAGAGCAGATTTGGGGAAAGGGAACTCAGTGTTCAGTTTTAGATGCTTCATTAGTAGCCTAGGATACAAATTGGAGCACAAAGAAAGGTCACTGTGACTGGAGCAGAATGAGTGAAGAAGGGAGGGACATGAGGAAAGTTCAGAGAGAGAGGTGGGTGCGTTTAAAAATTTGGTAGTAAGTTTGGATTTTATTTTAAGGCAAGAGGAAGTCACTGAAGGATTTTAAGCAACAGAGACACACGTGATTTGTTACGAAAACACTATCCTGACAACAGTATGAAAAATGGATTGTAGAAGGAAAAGGACATTAGTTAGAAGACATTATAAAGGTCCAAGGGAAACATGACTCAGATCATCTGAGTGATGACAACAGTGATGAAGAGAAGGTGGATACATTTTGGGAACTGAATAGGAACGTGAACTGGATGTAGGGAGAGAAAAGAGGAAAAGGAGTTAAAGATGACTCCTAGGTTTTTTTGGCTTGAACATCTGGGTGAATAATGATGTCATTTACTGAGTTAGAAAATCTGTAAGAGTAGAAGGTAAAACTACGAGAAAGTGAGAGCAACTATAATATACTACACTGGATAATAACTAAACAAGTATTTAAAGGTTTATAACCTTGTTTACAGCAGAGTAATTGGGAATAAAATACCAATAAACCACCTCGTTACATTGGCTGTGTGCTTGCTTATAATACTCAAGGGCTCGAGAAAGAGCATCTTCCTGTCCCAGCAGCCTTTCCCAGTGCAAGAGGGGTCAGAATGGGGACTGAGACCGTGGGACAGTGAGAAGCTGCACAGTGACAAGGTTGTGGTGCACAAGGTTGTGGAGGTCAAGAATGCAGGGTGATGAAGGGCTGGGGAAGACCCACCAAGGCATGGGCCAGTGGGCATGGCGGCCAATTACATGGGCAATGAAATGAGGGCAGGGGTAACAGTGGCAGCAGACAGAAGAGTCAGTCAGCATGGTTGCTTGGGAGATTAGTTACGTTGATCAAATAAATAGAGAACATAAGTAAATATATCGAGGATAATGAGAGTCAGGTTTCTGACTTCAGAGTAAGTACTTATAAACATGGAAAGGTTAAAGCTAGGAAGAACCCTAAGATATCACGGAGATATTCATATAAATTTATAGTTTTATAATGTACACACACAGTAAAATAGTTATAGATCTATGTTTGTGTATTTATATAGATATGTGTACATATCACATACCATACATGTTTCCTAGATCTGTCCATTTGACAGGGTCTACATGTAATGAAACTCTCTTAGCAATGAGCACACTTTAGGCTCTAATCTTGATTTCTGGATATCATCCTCAACTAAAAAGTATATGGTTCCTTGATGAACTGACTGATTCCAGGGCTGGGAAAGGATGAGTAAAAGCTGGGCCTGGAGTATCTTGTGCCTGAAAGTAAGGACATGCTCAGTGAATGATGGAAACATGATTCAAGGACAGAAGTGCCAGCTGGAAGGGTCTCCCACTCAGGAGCAATTTGAGCAACAAAATAAATAATGATAGTAATGGGTTACAACCTGTTGCATCCAACAGAAATCCACGAGCACATGTTGATATAAATGAATGCATGAATGTATGAATGAATGAATGAAAGAGAGGAAAGCTCTTCCACAAAGTAGAGTACTAATAAACATAGACGAGATGATGAGAATAAAGAATCACCATTGGCAGCCATCACAGAGGTATCTGATTCACAGGTATCATCTATGGATGCTAAAGTTGCTCTGTGGAGTTTGATGAGGTATGGGATATTAGTATAATGCTATAATACCTTCCTACAGAAAACTAATTGATTACAAAGGGGGAAAGGGAAACTTTAAAATGGAGAGAACTGATCAAGGTTGCCTTTTGATAGAATCAGCTGAGAAGAATGAAGCATCATTTCTATGCATTCCCACCAAGAATGCATGACCCAAGTCAAGTTGTAAGGAAACATAAGATGAACCCAGGTTGAGAGTCACCCTACAGAAGGTAAGGCTTGTACTCTTGTACTCCTGAAACTTGTCAAAGACATGAAAGAAAAAGAGTGAGAAAATCTGACTGGATTCTGATGACAACTGAATAGACACACATTCCTGAATGGGAAAATGGACCATGAAGGAAAAAGAGGCTTGAGATAGCTGGTTAAATCTGAATGGGGTCTGTGGATTAGATGGTAGTGTCATGTTATTCACGTCCTGACTTGGAAGCTTATACAGGAGAATGGCCTTGCTTTCGCAAATACATGCCAGAATGTTTAGGAGTGATGAGACATCGTGTCTGAAGCTTGCTTTCAAAAGGTTCAGAGAAAGACTAATTAGAGACAACAGTTCCACAACTTTGTGAATGTACGAGAAACCTCTGAATTCAAAGAAGAAAGAACAAAAGAAAGAGAATAATGATAACGGGAGTGTGCACCTGTGTACAGAAATGATGGAGATGGAGGAAATGCAGTAAAATGTTAAAAATGGGGAACCCCAACTGAAAAGGAGATGTATAGTTCTGGCAACTTTTCTGTAAGTATGAAATCATTTCAAAATAAATGAATTTTTAAAAAAGTGATTAGTATGTGACTAGGAACAAATATTCTAAAAGGGGAGGATTCCAGTAACATTGGAAATCAAAACTGAAGTGTTTAAAACAAAAAATAACACTAGTATCCAACCCTTAAGACTGCTCCCCAAGGCCTACAAAGAAATGTGCAGCAACAAAACGCAAACTATAAAGGAACTAGCTCTCACTCCATCTGGCACTAATGGTCCAGGAAAATGCTTAAAGGAGGAAGAAAGAAAATCAATAATAGTCTTACCTGTTCTCTCTTTTAGTATCTCTCTAACCCATTCCTGCTCATCTTCTATTTTGTTTCATATAATCCTAATTATTCCTAATTTTTACCTATAACATTCATGTCCACCTTCCAAATTTTCCTCTCTCAACTTCAACTTGGCACATATTAAATCATATCCCTGAAAAGACCTTGAAAAATTTTAAAACATTTTTACTTGGGGAGGGGGAAGTGGTATGATGCTAGGCACACAGGAATTGAGAATGAGGAGACAAAAGATTATGTCTCATTAAAGTAAATTAACTGAAAGCCACTGTACGACACCATCCTGTGGCTGTGAGAGAATTTATTAGTAATTTCATTTTAAGAAATCCTTCAGAGAAATCTAAAGGCCTAACAAAACCAAGATAGTCAACAAATGATAAAGCCAATTCTGACCTCCTTGCCAGGCCATGTTCACTCATAAATCATATAGGACCTTACCTTGGCTGCTTTAAGTAACATTTCTCTTTCTTCTACATCCTTTCTATGCTTCTCCAGTTGATCTAGCTTTTCAAGAAATTTGAGCTGTGATCTGGTGTCATTAGACAGGATGTAATTTTCACTTGCCTGGGGAAAAAAAAAGTTTTATGATGATCCTAGGCAACACATTCTACATTAAGTCTTGTTATAAATCAGCTAAAGACAGTAACACAAACATAGGGAACTAAATTTACAGGAGGTAATATGTTTATTTCTGTTAAGCAAACAACAACAAAATAAGAACTTTAATCATCCTTAAAATTTGAGAGGTGATTAAGCATTGAAATTTCAAAGAGCTTTCCTAGTAAGCTTCATCCAGAGAGGAGGAAAAAGGAATTAAGCCAAGCAGATCCTAATAACTGGAAGTAGAAAGCAAGACAGTGCACCCTTTACCTATAATCTAAATCTTTTTATTTAAACTATCGTCCATCTCAGCAGACCTTAATGATTAATTAAATCGTAGGACTGTGAAAGACAAAAAATAAGAAACAATCATCTCACTGAAAAATATACCTAAGATGAAAGTTACCACCCTTGTTTCTATTGTTGAATTGGTCTAACCATGCCAAGTGAAGGCAACTTCTACCAAAATACGACATAAGACAAAATGGCAAATATTAAAATCCTAAACCCTGTTGTAAGAATTTCCTTAAGCTATGGACTTGGGCAGAAACTATAGTCAAAGAAATTAAGTATACAATGTATAAATGAGAGTCATAACAGAGAAATATAATTATTCATCCTCAATGTTCCATAAAATGATAAAATTTATACTGTTTCATTTATTCTGATATTCTACAGTGTAAAACAGTGCTTTACAATCTAAATATTTTGTAATTTTATCTGATATGACCACCTATCTCTCCTCCTTTAATACATGTATGCTTGTTGGGGGTGGGGTGACTTCCTGCCATCTACTCATTTCAGTAATTCAGACATCCAAGCTATAGGAGGGAGACTATAAAATAGGAAAACTGAATGTTTTTAAACGTTTAGTCCAACGGTCAGTGCGTGGCTTGGAAATCTGGGTACAGCACCATTCCCATCTTTGTTTTATCCCATGCTTATGGTTGATTCAATTAACTGGGACTGAGAGATTTCATATGCTCAAGATTCTTTTTAAATTAAATTTTTATTGTTGGTATTTAACTAGATCCAAAGAGTATTACATAGAATAATGAACAAGGATGTATTAGTGCTACTTATTTTACTTTGTGTTTAATACAAAAAGAATTCTCAAATGTTTTTAAAGTTAAATAATACAAGATAGAATATGGAATACATTATAAGCCAACCATACAGGCATAAACATAATAACCAGTGGTTTCTTAAATACTTCATTTTTACCATTTTTGTGTTCATATACCCTGGAGATAATTTACTGACAGGATTTAATTTAAAAGGACAGCAAATGCTAAATTAAAAAGACGCACAGACTTTCTAAATCTGAACCCAATCTCATTTCCATGCTAAGATTCCTTCTCTCTCTTCCAACTCAGTACAACTGCCTCTTGCTTAATGCATCCTTCCTTTACTCTTCCAGTCCTAAACAACTGAGTGTCTTCCCTACTTCTACTGAGTCTCCAACTTTATTTAAACAACAGTACCCCAATCTTATCATGATGCTTCCTGTCTACCCAGCTGGTCTAACTGAAGTCTTCTTGCACCACAGAGTCAGGTGGTTTAGCAGTGAAAATATAAGGACTCAGACCAAACAATAACATCGTCAAGTGAATCCCATCTAAAGAAAGTACTACAGCCCCTTTCAACTGGAAAACATGAAGTTTCTCCACAGCCACTGGCACGTAGAAGACTCTAACATATCTTCAGTGGGAAAAAACCTGGCAGCAAGATCAAAAGCTTTGTATCACATGTGTCACTTTCTACTTGTTTACTTAAATCTCAGTTTATGGACTATGATTAATTAGAGAATTATGTCTAACCAGGTGAAAGATTATCAAAAGTAGAGGGATTTCAAATGGAAAGAGATGGTGGGATTTTGCTTTTAATAAAAGTAGCTCACTTTTGTGAAATTCATGGAGTAAAATTTCCCATATTGTACAGATAAAAATAAATCCTATCAGGGATGAACTGAAATGTAAGGACAGGGCTCAATCTGTGACACAAAGATTATTACAATCAAAGTCTACAAAATAAGTATATAATTTTGAACTAGATCCAAATATAATTAAATGATTATTATTTCTGTTTAAAGAAGGATGATCGTGTAGTTGCTTTTCTATATGTGCAAATTCACACAGTGGCATTAGCTGTATTAAGGAATAAGTGTGGGGAGAGGCGGACAGGGGAAAATCAATCAGGATAGGCAGTGTCAAGACAGAAGGTTAAGAAGGTGTTAGCTTTAAGCTAAGTTACTGAGTTTCTAAGTGGGGTAGATACTATCCATTTTGCCTGGGGCAACTAAATCCTTGGAATATGTGTTATTGATATACACTAGAAGAACTACTCCACCTGAAGGCTATACATAATAGAGCTTTGGATGGCATTCTGGATGGTAAACATTACTTGGAAAAATTCTATTCCATACTAAATGTACGTGCTACATTTTGTATAGAAACTGCCTACTGTAAATGAAAGTGCACTCATGTATATCTGAAACAACAGGGTGTTTGAGGCAGGAAAAGGGGAGAATCCAGATGTGAAAAATTATAAGGCTCTTTAAAACGTCACAGTAAAAAGACAAAAAGGAAGACTAATCCCCCCACATCCCAAAAGTGAAGGTAAATTGTTATCAATTTAAATTAGGTTACTGCAAATTCAGGATGCTAATTGTAATTCCCAAGGTAACCACTAAGAAAATATCTAAAAAATACACACACACACACACACACACGCAAAGGGAATCAAAACAATATACAACAATGAAAAAAATCAAACAAAAAAGAAGGCAGTAGTAAAGGAATGCCAAAAAAAGCCATAAGACACACACAAAAACAGAAATAGCAGAAGTTAAGTTTTTCCTTAATCAGTAATTACTTTAAATGTGAATGGATTAAACTCCTCAATCAAAAGGTAGAGACTGACAGAATGGATAAAAAGCAAAATCCAACTATATGCTGTCTACAAGATATTGGCTTTAGATAAAAGCACAAATAGGCTGCAAGTCAAAGGATGGAAAAAAAATATTCCATGCAAATAATAACCAAAAGAAAGCAGGGGTGGTTATACTAATATCAGCCAAGACAGACTTTGTGTCAAAAACTGTTAAAGAGACAGGACATTATATACTGACAAAACAGTGAATTCACCAAGAAGATATAACAAGAAGATATACACACTAGACAACAGAGCCCCCAAATATATGAAGCAAACACTGACAGAACTAAAGAGAAATAGTTTTACAATAGTAGTTGAAGTCTTCAATACCCTACTTTCAATACTGGATTGAATACCTATACAGAATATCAATATGGAAATAAAGGACCTAACACTATAAACCAACTAGATCTAACAGACATATATGAACACTCCTCCCCAACAACAGAATACACATTCTTCTCAAGTGCACATGGAACATTCTCCAAGACAGACCATATGTTAGGCCACAAAACAAGCCTCAATAAATTTAAAATGATTGAATTGTGCTAAGAATATTCTCTGACAACAATGGAATGAAGCTAGAAATCAACAACAGAATGAAAACTGGAAATTTCACGAATATGTGGAAATTAAACAACATACTCTCAAATAACCAATGAAATAAAGAGATCTCAAGGGAAATTAGAAAATACCTAAGAGATGAATGAAAACAAAAACACAATGTACCAAAATGTATAGAATGCAGCAAAAGCAGTGCTCAGAGAGAATTTTATAGCAATAAATAAATGCCTACATTAAAAGGGTAGATCTTAAATCAGTAACCAACCTTACATCTTCAGGAAACAAAATGAGAAATGAAAGTAGAATCATTACCACTGACCTTACAGAAATAAAAAGGATTATTAGAGAATACTATGAACAACTGTATGCCAACAAATTAAATAACCTAGAAGAAATGGACAAATTCCAGAAGCACACAAAAATAAATACTGATAGTAGGGGTTTTTTCACAGCTTTTTCTGATGATCATATATTTTTAAGTCAGTCCAGTAAATTCTCACAAAGATTTATACAAGTGAGGACCTCAGCAACTATAAATAGTTCTTCCAAAGTTCTAAATGAAGCAGAAAGGAGAGAAAACAGAATGATTTCCTCCAGGAAATTTACCGGTGGTATAGTGGCTGATCTTCCCTAGATTGCTTTTAACCTATGTGTAGGACATCATGACAATGACCATTCTTGCAGACTCAAAACCTTATAAGGTTACCCATATACCACATTGTACAAAATCCACCTATGAACATTTCTTGATATGGGGGAAAAGGTTATCTTTTTCAACCCTCATTACCCAATACATTTGTTCTCCATCCAAACCATAATGCAAATTAATCTAATGCTTTCATCTTGATGATGGCAAGTGATTTGGTTCACACTACTAGGGATAAGATAGGCTATTCTTGCATTTAATTTTTTATAAAAGGGGTCAATATAAATAATGAGTGGCACCAATATTAGCACTCAATGCAATCATTTAACTTATTAAAAGGAACAGGAGTGCTAGCAGAGAACGGATCACTGAAGAGAACACAGCTATCCAATACATTATCCCTTCTAACATATCCTCCCTCCCAGTCAAGAGCTTTAGGAGGAGAAGCCTCAGGCAGAACAGATACAAATTTCAATGTACAGTGACATAGAAGCTTTGGATACCATTTGAAACCCTATTTTATTTGTCATGTAAGCGTATCTAAATAAGGCAAATTAGGAATGAGACTTTTATTTTCTACCAATATGAAATATGTCTCGACCATTTCCTTGAAAAAATATACTTAGAATATGAATCCATATCAAAAAACTACCTTTAACACAACAAAGAAGAGACAGAAGAGTTTGTTCTTCTTTAAGGATTTCCTTTACCTTGTAAGTTGTCATTCGATGCTGAGCGATTGTAGTCAGTTTTTCTAGAAGGCCTCGTAATCGCTCCTGTGTTGCATGGGAGATCAAGTTCACAGCATCAGAGTTAAGTTCTGTAATGTCATGCTTTTTACCTGTGGAAGCAGAGAAAATCCATTACGTGTTTTAGTAGTGGCTGATAATTGAAATAATTAGCACAGCAGGTATTCTGTTCCCCCTGGAAGTCATACCCATTATGAATAAAGGTTTGGAGATTATGATTTTCCTGGTAAAGTCACAACTTCAAAGATCTTAGACATTACATTAATAAAACCTAGCCTGAAGCCTCAGAAAATATAGACATTGTTTCACTTAGCCTCTAGACTCATTCTCCTTGCAAGGTCATTTATAGGACAAAGTTAATAAGAACACAAATCAAGTCTAGTGTTCAGGGAGGAAAATGGTAACTGCAGAAATCAGTGCTATATTCTGTTAATTTTAGTCATTAAAAAAATAGAAAATTACATTTTGCCATTTGACACTGTTAACAATTTATGACATTTATTTCAGTTAACTCAGATTGTGAGTCTCTGTTAATAACTTGTCTGCATGACACACCTATACACCTTTTGTCCATTACCAATCATGCTTATTTTGCACTAACTCATGTTCCATAAGCTGACCTGGTAATTAATTTACAAGTTGAAATGGGTTCAAAGCCTCATCATTTTACCCATCAATTTGAAAAATTTCTCTTTCACTATATCTCTTCCCATAAATAAACCAAACTTCTATTCTTCCTTCTGCTAACCAGGAGGAAAGTTTCAAGAAAACAATTTGGACCACATACCCCAAAGCAGAAGCTCATATATAAATCAACCTTATCAGTTTTTAAATAGTAATTCTCCAGCTCAGTGAAACTACCTGTATCATCAGAGACCTAACTCTAAAGATACAGGTAATTAGGTAATCTCATTTAAATGAGCTTTTAAATAGTGCTATTGTGTTTGTTTTTAACATATGCATTTATAGAAATTTAAAATATATTGTTTGATTTTGCACTCTATCTGAAACATACTCATATATTCAAAGTGTGAATGAGTATTGCAAAAAACAAGCTTTAATTAAAAGCTAACAATTCTTAAACACATTCTTTGACATTATTCTATAACAAATGTTCAACTTAATTCAAAATGTGGGCTATAGTAAATCACACAGGAAAACGATATAAAATGATTCAGCTTCTCCTATAACAAACCTTCAAAACAAAGCAGTTCATTACTTTGTAGCAAAAATGAATTAATCACCAAGTTATGATTCAAGGGGGGGAAAAACACTGAAAAGTCAAATCTACTTTACTAAAACATCAGCATAAACAAATAGTGGGGGCCTTCTATAGAAGGAATAATGCAATTTCAAAACAATCCAGTGATTAAAATTATAATTAAACATAGAGTATATAGAGGATGACATGCCAGTTAATGCCTAAAGAAAGTGAACATTTAAGAACATATAGTGTTGGGCTTCCCTAGTGGCGCAGTGGTTCAGAATCTGCCTGCTAATGCAGGGCATACGGGTTTGAGCCCCGGTCTGGGAGGATCCCACATGCCGCGGAGCAACTGGGCCCGTGAGCCACAACTACTGAGCCTGCACGTCTGGAGCCTGTGCTCTGCAGCAGGAGAGGCCGCGACAGTGAGAGGCCTGCGCACCGTGATGAAGAGTGGTCCCCGCTTGCCACAACTACAGAAAGCCCTCGCACAGAAACAAAGACCCAACACAGCCATAAATAAATAAATTAAAAAAAAAAAAAAAGAATATATAGTGTTTGGGGAGAAACTTTGAAAATAATTTCATATGTATTTATAAAACAGAAACCTATGCTAAAGAAATATCCATATTTTTAAAATACTAAAAATAAACAAGTACTGGGAGTTGCAATCAATTCCAGGGCTTAGTGAACAATCAAACATTCTAATATCTTCACTAAACTGATGATAAAACATAAGAGAGTTACAAGTTAAAGTCTCACTTTAAAATAAAACACTCCCTTTAGTAAAGTCACCATTGACTGTTTAAGGCAATCTAGTAGGTGTTTGCAAGCTTACTACGTGATTTTTACAGAATGTCTGTGCAATTTAATTTAGGTAATTAGCAAAAAAGGAAGAACATTGGCATGTTTACTCCCCTAACATATTCAAGTAAGAAAATCTTCCTGCCCAAATTCTTTGGGTTACTTTATAATTCCTGTTATTAAGAAATGGTCTTGGTTCTGATCTGTTCTGTAAACATGGAACATTTTATTGTACATGAAAAAATTTTATTGTATTAAATAAAAACCATTTTATTGTAAATGAAAAAATTCCTAGAAATATATAACTCCATTCACTCTATGGTTTTTGTTTTTGTTTTAAAAGCTTAAGTAATTTAGAGGGAAGAAGTTTTGCAATTTTCCATCATATTAAATGACAAGTTGGTGTTTTATCATCAAGAACTGAAAATACAAAGAGTTCTCCCCAGAATTCTCCTTGAAAGCAGAGGTTAGAAAACTAAATCTGGTCTCTCTTTATAGATAAAGTTTGATGGCAATACAGTCTTTTCTATTTGTTCATATGCTGTCTACAGTTGCTTCTGTAACTTAACAGCAGAGATAAGCAGTTGCAACACAGACTATATGGCCCACAAAGTGGCGAATATTTACGATCTGGTCCTTTGCAGGAAAAAATATTGTCAATTCCTGTCCTAAATGATGGAAAATGCTCTGTCAAACTAAAAGTTTTCCTATCACATAATCAAGGTTTAAATCAAGCTAGAAATAAAATTTAGAAGGGGGGCAGGGAATTGCTAATACTAAGTATGAATCTACTTCTTCTCCACCAGTTCTAAATAATTATATGGCTAAAAGGAGTTAAAACACCAGTAAATTTCCCAAGCCATCACAGAAAGATATTTGCTTAGGCTTATTCCAAAATTAAGGAACCGTCTCCTATACAATACAAAATACAATGCAAGAAGAAAACGAAAGAGAAAGAAAGAGAGGGAGGGAGGGAAGGAGGAGGAGGAGGGAGAAATCAAACAAAACACAAGCAAACAGCAAACAAACATTTTACCATTAGCTCTTCTGAATTTCTATCCCTTTGAACTACTGTAAATTCTAGTTTTTCAAGATAAAAGAAGGATAACATATAACCAACTTAAGTTAGAGGTGAAAAAAGTGATAATTTGAATAACATACAGTAGGAGCTCACATATTTCTTTATTGAGTAATTGTGAAGTAAACTTAGAATATGTAATAGTAATGCATTTTGAAGTCCTTAAATATATCATGGATGTATCAAAAATCTGAAACCTTCACATTTTTGTGTTAGGCCTTCAACACAGAAATGTAAAGGTTCTTAGTCAAGCATACTAAAAGGTCACTGGTACTGGCCCCTCAAATTGGACATGGGTGAAGGAAGAGAGCTAGAGGAGACTCCAATAAGTCCCTGTGTCAGGACACAAGAAGTGAGATAACTCACGTGCAACAATCTCTCTCCAATCTGTCTCTTTTTTCAGTTATCACTGCAGGTTTGGTATTAAACAACAACAAAAAAGCTGTTTGGCTCCAGAATAAAACTGGTATGTTCTCTTCCATTTCCTTTCACATACTTCAGGCCACCCAGCAACTACTCCTGGCCAGAGAGAACTCTGATATTCTAGTTCAGTTCTTTTACGGTAAGGATGGGTTTGAATTTCAGTGTTGAGATGAGGAAAAAGGGACTAACTCTCATTGGCTGTTTCTTTATTTCATAAAAACAAACTTGTAATAAGTTACATGCCTAAAGCCCAACCAAGGAAGAACAGCACAGAAAAAGATATTATATCATAAGCATATATTCATTTTTTACACATCTATTCTTCCATTAAGATGAATAAAATATTAACGTCTATTATCTACACCAGAAACCATAGGTTACATGATTTAAGTTACATTAATAACTTTTAAAATAAAATACTTTTTTCTATAACACCCATGAAATCTTGATTACTTCCAGAGCCTCTTTTAAGCCTCAGAATTCCCAGAAAAACCAACCCAGGCTATCTCTTTTGATAACATTTTCCTTGTAAGAGACAGTCCTATCAGGTCAATAATCATACTTACCAATGTCTAAAATTCTCTTTTGTAGAGGTCCAATGAAAAGAAACGGTTCATCTTTACATGACTGAACAAGTGTGCCAACCAATTCAGAGTTTGTTGCTAAGATGCAGGCATTTTCTTCACTGAGGTTGACCCCTGCCATGGAAGTCACATCATTGATGTCATCTTCATCTCTAATAGAAAAAAAAAGAAAGCTTTCAGTGGTTGTGGTATGTGAATGAGTGATTTAAGACAGCAAAGAATTATAGATCTCTCCTTATAACTAAAGACATTATTTTACTCAATTTATCCAAGCAAGAAAAGTAAAGCATGGCTATCTTTCCCTGTCAGCCTTTAAAATTCACTGGTGTTTCTAACCACTAGTGTACATTTAATATCAGAAAGATGAATCAGAAGCAACTTTTGTCTCCTAGTGCCCATCTCTCCCACTCTCAGTTTAGTAAATAAGATAGTCTAAGAGGGATTTGGAAGTTATACTAAGTTATCCACAAGTTGCGGGTAATGAAAGAATGAAATAAAAACAGACTTCTTTGTTTTCATCCAAGATGATTTTAAAACCCCTCAGATATCCCCAGTGCAGTCCACTGTTCCACTGAGGAGGAGAAATTCCCCAATCCCGAAAGGTCCATACCCATGTAAAAGCCCTTGAGAAGAAGCTTTTTAGACTAGCTATTCTGAAACCATATGGTTAAAAGTACTTTTGTTTTTCCGCTTCAGACTTTTGGTGTGCTCCACCTGTACCAATTGAATTCATTAAACCACCTCCTCAAGCAAGTGGCTGCAAAGGGCTTATATTTAAAATATAAAATTATTTTATACACACATATGCAAAAGACATACATATAAAAACACAAAATATGTTTGAGCTCCTTGCATTGTTCCAGCAAAATTAAATAGTTGCTTTTATCTAACAGAATTGCTACATGGCTACAGTACTAAGATGAGTATATATGTTTCAGGATAGAGAAGTGAGAGACAAAAACCTAAAATTCCCTTATGGCATTCTTAACACCCTGTAATAACAAGCATGTTACTGATCATAACTCATGTACCAATGCATAACATAATTTACACAAACATGATTATATAAAAAACATATTGTTTCTATTTATTGCATGGGCCGAAAGATATATCATGTGGTTTCATGTCAACAGATTTAAATTATGAACCTCCTTGTGGTAATGCATTTATGCACAAAAAAGGGAAATAAAGTATAACTGTCAAGCGCTCAAGATACGAAGGCCTCTGGTGTTCAGCTTTAAAAAGCAGCATGTTAGGAGTGAGAGGGAAAGAGCCCCTACTCACACAGGTATGAGAGATTCAAACTAAATGAAAGAAAGTTAAGTGCTGGACATAGCAGTTGCAAGTGGAGAGAAAGAACAAAGGTCTCACAATCTGAACACAATATTTAAAGACCTAACATTAAAAGGTATGTCTGTGTAATGGAGAAAAGAAAAAAAAATTAATTAGTATCTCAAATCAACCAAATGAAACACGCAATATAAATAAACTGTATGGGGACTTCCCTGGTGGTCCAGTGGATAAGACTCCATGCTCCCAATGCAGGGAGCCTAGGTTTGAACCCTGGTCAGGGAACTAGAGCCCACATGCCACAACTTAAAGAGCCCACATGCCGCAACTAAAGATCCTGCATGCCGCAATGAAGATCCCACATGTTGCAACTAAGACCTGGCACAGTCAAATACATAAATATTTAAAAAAATAATAATAATCTATATGAAAATGGTTGGACTCCACCTCATCAAATGTCACAGAGGTTCTGTCAGAGGGATGGTATGAGAATGGTTCTAAGAATCAATTTACCAACTATGAAAACAAAGAAGTATTCCAGAAACATCTAAACATTTAAAGTCTAAAGTGTAAGACGTAGAGAATGGACATGAGGACATAGGGAGGGGGAAGGGTAAGCTGGGATGAAGTGAGAGAGTGGCATGGACATATATACACTACCAAATGTAAAATAGCTAGCTAGTGGGAAGCAGCCGCATAGCACAGGGAGATCAGCTCAGTGCTTTGTGACCACCTAGAGGGGTGGGATAGGGAGGGTGGGAGGGAGATGCAAGATGGAGGAGATATGGGGATATATGTATATGTATAGCTGATTCACTTTGTTATACAGCAGAAACTAACACACCATTGTAAAGCAATTATACTCCAATAAAGATGTCAAAAAAAAAAAAATCTAAAGCATAAGAATAGTAGAAACCATAAACCTAAAGATGGACCAAGGTCTGAGTAAAAAAAGTATTTTAAAAGGTCTGAGTAAAAAATATTAAAAAAACCCCCAAGTATCAAGAAAATGAAAAGACAAGCCACACAATGGGAGAAAATATTTGTAAAAGACATATCTGATAAAGGACTGTTATTCAAAACATATAAAGAATTCTTAAAACTCAACAATATGAAAACAAACAGATTAAAAAATGGGGCAAAGACCTAACAGACACCTCACCAAAAAGATGTGCAGATGGCAAACAAGCACATGAAAAGATTTTCCACATCCTATGTCATCAGGGAAATGCAGATTAAAGCAATGAGATACCATTACACGCCTATCAGAATGGCCAAAATCCTGAACACCGACAGCACCAAATGCTGATGAGGGTGTGGAGCAACAGGAACTCTCATTCATTGCTGGTAGGAATGTAAAATGGTACAGCTACTATGAAAGACAGTTTGGCAGTTTATTACAAAACTGAACATACTCTTACCACATGATCCAGCAGTTAAACTTCTTAGTACTAACCCAAAGGAGCTGAAAATTTATGTCCACACAAAAACCTGTACATGGATGTTTATAGCACATATACTCTTTTTTAGTATATGTGCTGCCGAAGCGAGCACAATAGCACATATACTCTTAATTGTCAAAACTTGGAAACAACCAAGATGTCATTCAGCAGGTGATTGGATAAATAAACTGTGGTAAATCCAAACAATGCAATATTATTGAGTCCTAAAAAGAAATGGTATCATACCATGAAAAGACTAGAGGAACCTTAAATGTACATTATTAAGTGAAGTAAGCCAATCTGAAAAGGCTACATACTGATGATTCCAGCTATATGACATTCTGGAAAATGCAAATTATGGAGACAATAAAATGACCAGCGGTTGCCAGGGGTTAGCAGAGAGGGATGAATATGCAGAAAACAGAGGACTTCTAGGACAGTGAAATATATAGTATCTGTATGATACTATAATGGTCAATACATGTCATTACACATTTGTCAAAACCCACAGAATGTACCACACACTGAGTGAACTGTAAGGTAAACTATGAACTTTGGGTGATAATGATGTCTCGATGCAGGTTCATCAGTTGTAACAAACAGACCACTCTGGTGGGGGATGCGGATAATGGGGGAGGCTGTGCATGTGCTGCCATTTTCTACAACGTCCAAATCAATTTTTTGCTATGAACCAAAAACTACTCTAAGAAACAGTCTATTTAAAACAAAAAGGCCAAGTACAAATCGATGAAAAGTCAGGTCACTCCAAAAGAGAATACCAACCAGTTACTTAACACCTTTAGGACTCAAATTTTTCTTCCTTTAAAAAATGAATAACTTAGATTAGGTATTTTCTAAGGTCACTCTCAGCCACTTAAAAGAATGAGGCAGCTCTCTTTGGCCAGGCACAGAACAAATGCCAAGGTGTATTGTGAAGTGGGAAAAAAACTAAACAAAACATAACAAGGTATAGAACAGATTGCACCTTGAAAAAAATACACACACACACACACACACACACACACACACACACACACACACGGGCATAACATATCTCTGGATGCACAAGAAATTCTCCTCTGGAGAGGGAAACAGGGAAGCATGGATAGGAACAAGATTTCATTTACACCACATCATACTCCTTTCTACCCTTTGAATGTTGTAGTATATACACAGATTACCCAATCAAATGGTTAGTGATATTTTAAAAAATAATATATAAACAAACAGAGAAAGAAAACTGGAGACAGAAAAATATTATGAAATTTAGACATATGGCCTCATCTTTCCTTTTAAAAAAAATCAGAATTGTATAAGGTACACAGCACATAGCCTTTACACACATGCACACAACACTGATTGTTCACAATCTCAGCTGTTTGCCAGGTACACAGGCCCTGTAAACTGCACCCTGCTTCCATAGGTGAGGTCCCACATAGCCCCTGCTGAAATCTCACATACAGACTGGAGAGACCAGTACCAAGCCTCCTTACTACCAGTACCATGCACAGTACTAGAACTGAACAGAACTCAATGTTCAATGAGGAAACTGTCCCATGTCTTTTAGAATCTTCTTGCAGCCCTTCTCTGAACTAAGAAGGGAGCTAAACACCCAATAAGATTTGTTCTTGCCTACCCACCCACCCAATTTGGCCCCAAGCTGAACACAGCTCCCTCTACTTCAGCTGCCAGTTGCTATGGTTACAGAGGGCAGCAGGAATAGAGGAAGACCCCTACTGAGGGAAGAGGAAAAGGTACCACAATAAACAGTACCCGAACCACTTAAAACTTCCTCTAAGAAAGGAGACAGACTAAAGGAAAGCAAAGACAACACAATGTTGTAGCAGCATTATTGATAAGGCTAAATATTGTAAGATAGGCCAAGAGTAATAAAGGCTTTGATACTGAGGCGTATTTGTGATTCTGGGTTGGCTCAATTTTAAAGGAAAAGAAAATGAGAACCTCCAAATCGCATCTTCAAGTCTTCTGGTCTAATGCAGTATGTCTTTTAATGAAGGTGCTGTGAAAGATAACCTGTTTCATTTTAAAAGACATACAAAAAGGAAATTTAATAGTGCCTCAGTAGAAAAAGGCTTCCAACTCAAGATTCTGTGGAGAGTAATAGGTTAATATGTAAAAATTAAAGTAGCATTACCCAATTATCATTAATACCTTGCATTTTGGTTTCTGAAACTGATCTAATTCTTCAGCTTTTTATAAAGTTAACCATTGCTTGTACCTACTTTCTTAAATCTCTTCTACCCTCTTAAGATTTATAATAGCACCAGACTAATTTTTCTACAGTAGAGAAAATCACATTACTTTCCTATTCAAAAACATTTCATGGGGCTTCCCTGGTGGCGCAGTGGTTGAGAGTCCGCCTGCTGATGCAGGGGACACGGGTTCATGCCCTGGTCTGG